AAGGTGCAAATTAAAAGGGTGTCAGAGATGAAGTTGGTCTGAATAATTTAATCTATGGAATCCCCACACCTCTCTCCCTTCTGCCGCCTTTCCTCATGCCAAATGGCTCTTTCTTTTACGATTATCCCACGACAATTATCAAATCCCTTTGATATCCCTTCGCATATGTTTTCGCATTCGCCTTTTATGGCATTGCTCGGCTCTTAATCTTCTTGCCAGGGCTATCATACTCGTATTCATTCATTTATTCCTTTGTTCATTCGTTCTGGCCGCTTGGCTGCTGGGGCCATTTTTTTATTGCACTTTTTCCTCTCTTATGGCTGCGATTCTTCTTTTGGCTTGTGTGTTCCCTTCCGATCTGTTTTTATGGCGCCCTGCCACGCCCCGCACTTGAGTTGGGGCCCCCGCCCAGGAGTCGGCTCCCTTCGTTACGAGGTGCTAAATCAAGTTAACGTTTAAGTGGCCGTTTAGTGCCTATGCCGGGCTCTCCACTCCACCATTATCAGTGCCTGTATCTGTATCTGTATCTGTATCTGTATCTGTAGCCTTGTTTGATCCTCCGCCTGTTCTCCGCTGCATCCCCCCATCCTTCAGTCCCGTCCCCTCGTCCCTTTATTATTATTTCTGCCTTTTGTCATAAAGAGTTTTTCTTTTAGCGTTTCGCCTTTCGGTGCTTTTTATTGACTGTAAAGTTTATATTTTATTTATTTTATTTTTTTAATATTTTCTTTATGCCCCTCCCCCCCATCCACCCATCCATCCTTTGGCGTTCTATTACCACCCACTGCTTGTAATTGTTTTTTAAACAAAGTTTATAACTTTTTTCTCTTTCTTTCAGCCTCGTCATCATCATTGTTGTTGTTGTTGTTGTTGTTGTTGCTGTTTTCTTTTCTTTTTGAGCTTTTCCTTGGTTTGTTTTTCCGTTTTGTGTGCATTTTAATTTGCTTGTCTGCCTTTTAATGGCAGTTGTTATGCAATTTTTGCCGCTAGAACAGACTCCAAAAGGCAAAAGTGCAATTCCTTTTCCCTCCTTTGCCACCCCTTTTCCACCCCCTCTACCCGTTTTGTAATATTTCTTGCTACTTTTATTGCGAGCAAAATGGCAAATAACTAATTAAAAATATGTTTCTTGCATGAATGATGGGGATGGGGGCTGCTACTGTCATTAAAGTTCGACCGTACAAAAGGAGGAGGCAGGAATCCTTATAAAGAATATTCCACTAGGCCTAAAGATTCGTGCCTCCCACTAGCTACGTCCGATCCTTATAAACAATACTCCACTAGGCCTCTTTTTCCAGGTCTTTTCCTCATCCCAAATTGGCATCAATTCCTTCCCGATTCCCGCACTTCCTGCAGACTTCCATTGTATTATTTCCCCCTCACACATTCGATGGTTTCCGCCCCTCTCAAGGTCATCTTTTTGGGGACTTTTACAGCTGAAAATCAGGGCAAGTAGATGCCGCAACGGCCACGTCCTTCAGGCTTCAGGCCGTCAGGCCTTCAGCCATTTGTAATTTTCAATTTCAATTCCAGTGCCTCTCTCGCGTACTTGTATGTACATTTCAATTGCATTTACGTAATCAACGAACACGCACCCCATCTGTGCCGGGGCAGGGGGGAAGTCCCGCTTTTCCAGGCATTCCATTATTGATGCTCTGCCTCGCTCCACGCCCCTCGCTCCCTCGCTCCCTCGCCCCCTCGCTCCTTGTCGTCGTCGTCGTTGCTGTGCCACTTGCTTGGGCTTGTGGCTGTTGCTACTGTGTGTGTGTGTGTGTTTTTTTTTTGTTTGTTTGCCGAGTTGAATGAACATATTTCGCCTTGACATACATTGCATTGTTAGCAAACAAGAGTGTCAGAACAGATGGGGGCCATGCCCAACCCAGGCCCCGCCCACTTGAATGTGCAGCCACAGAGATTCCGCCTGCTTCTTCGGCGGGCTTCAGGGGCTCGACATGTGCCCCATGTGGATGTCCATGGGTGTGCGCGCCTAGTTTTTGTTCAAACAACACGAAGCTTGTACAAGAAAACCAACAGCGGCTACATCACCAGCAACGACAGCAACAATAATGACATTCTGACTGACTGACAGACAGACAAGAGTAACAAGAACACAAGCCCATAAGACAGTTGGACAGAAGCTGTAAGAGATAGAGGGGGGGGGGGCTTGAGGAGAAACTTTATTGCCAACAATAGCAACATCAAACAGCAGGAGAAAACGCGGCCATCTGCCCATGATCGAAGCAGTGGATACTCTAGAAGATCAATCGCAGATGTGGAGATGGTTCATGAGAGAGAGGGAAGCCATTCTGTACTAAATAGAAGAGAATTGTAGCTTATAATGACTTGAATGTGCTGCAGTCTCTGCCTGTAGCCTGCCTGGAGATACCCCTTTTATGAGGGCATTGGAACTTCGATTTGAACATCTAGAACAAGGTCTACTCGTACCAAGCCTTGTTCGCCAACTTTCTGCATTGCTTGTTTGCTTAGGCTTCTGTTCCTTCTGCTCCTTGTGGTCCTTCTGGTCCTTCTGCTGCTCTTGCTGCAGTTGCACCGACAACAGACAGCCGACACTGAAGTCTGGTCAACAAATACTTAACATTACAATCCTCAGTATTTACTCGAACTTGTTGCAATTTGTTGTTACTGCAATTAAGATGCCAGGCGAAAATAGTGGAACAAGACAGACAGCCACAGTGATTGTGTGAATCAAGTGGATTGGGGGCCTTGGATTGTAATATATTAATCTAAGGATTTCTCCTATCGGAAAGGGAGAGAGTAGCGATTCCTAGGGCTCAACATTGTGGAGCAAAATGCAGAATCTCGCGGTCTATATGACCATGTCGATGGAAGAAACGCTCGGAAGAGCTATATATATAGACTCAGCAGGGTCTAGTGCTTTGCAGATGATAGAGGCATCACGGGACACGCCTCTAGACTGTCAATCCCGATAATTACTTCTGGAGAAGTTGCCGGGACTTCCCCACTTCTTCTGCCAATGTCCAGCCCAGACTTCGGCCCCTTTCCTCAGGGACATTTCAGACCCTTCCATAATCAAGCCAGGGACTGCCCTTAAACTGCAATAAGTTCCACACCAGGGCTTAGGCAATGAAGTCCAGGAAGCTGTGGGAAGGATCGTTCCTCTGCCCAATCTATTAATCGACTTCAAAGACGTTTCCACTGGTAGTGGAATCCAAATCAAAATTGAAATTCTTGAGTTGATTTCCCCTTCAATCTACTCGTATTTACACACACAGCCAATGGATCATTAACTGCTTGCAAATTGGCTAGAAATAAAATCTCAAATAAATTTGTAAAGTCTCCCAAAGCAGCCATGGACTGGGGAATAAATTTGCTGCCTGAAAAACACACACACACACATCGTATTCGTATTCGTAGGATATATAAAGGATATTGGTGTTACGGTCAATTGCAGAAACCAATCAACTTTGAAGGTTCTTTATGGGCAAAGGGCTTATGCCTGAATGGAGATGCAGTCCACACACACAGAGAGAGAGAGAGAGGGAGAGAGAGAGTCTATGTGGTGCCACAGAGAAAGAGAGAGAGGGAGAAAGAGCTTGACTGACAGCTGCACTCATTGAGGCAATTTGCTTAAGTTACAAATTGAAATATTTGCATTTTATCTTAGAAATGCAAATTCCCCCGCACCCCGCACCCTACACCGCCCCCACGTACGGGCTGTACGGGTATCTGTGCAAACAATGCCAAACAAATTGGCTATTCAAATCCGCAGACGCCGCACCGAGTCTCCACACGAGTTGGAGGCTCTCTAAGATGTGCCCCGACAGGAGGCACAAGGCGGCAGGGGGCGGGTGGCGGTTGGGCGATGCACAGCGGCTGGTTGGGGTTACAATTTATGCGTTTGGCCCCCGGGAACGTTGAATGCAGTTTGCAATTTTCATGGCCTGCCTCCTTTTTTCTCCTCTTTTTCTCTTTGAGTGGGGTATTCTTCCTTTGATCAGAAGTTGGCGATGCACAAAGGGGACGAAATTTAGATCGTCAGAGCAGTATAATCGTGTTAGGAATCCAGTATATGTTGGGATCCACAGAAAGTTTCCCAAAGGACGAGCCTTTTCTTGGTGCCATAGAGTATTCCCTGGTTCGTTCTCAGTTTTTGCTGTGGGTTTTTTGCTGTCTCGGCTGCAACTCACTTGGCAGGTCCTTCTGCAAGTTCCTCCTGCCGCTGCTGCAACAAAAAAGCCATTAAGATTACTTTCTACGGCCAGATTTGGGGGTGGCGACGAGCCCGACGAGCCTCATGCAAACGACAGACGGAAGAGCAGCGTCAGAGGCGGGTCCGAAGCCCTGCTGATGAGATTTTGCCACCCCCCCACCTACGCACTCGTGCACTCCTAGGAGCCGTGGCAGGATGATGCGGCAAGGATGATAGTGGCAGGGTGGTGGGGTGGTGGGATATGGGATATACAAAAGGCTTGGGGAAAGCCCAGGCTCCAATAAATGCCAAGCGTTCGCCCATAAAGTAAACGATTGATGAGGTTAGGAATCTGAACAGCACTTCAACACAATGCCACGCCCACTCTACGCCACACCACACACTGGCTTGGAGCACACTTTGTTGCTTCATTTAACTGCAATCGTTGCAAATTTTTTACCAGCAAATTGTTCTTACGAGCCAACTGCACGGAAGGAAGGGATACAGCCTCCCAGGAGGCTGTGGAGGAGCACAGCTTAGGGGAATGCATAGCTGATGTAATTAGGTCGGGTTTTAGGATCGTATCTAATGGATTGCTGGAACATATTACAGTCGGATCAGTCGGTATAGCTGGAATGAATGGTCGATTGGCGCTTTGAACAGCTGGCTTTCGATCAGTCTTAAAGGATGCATACTTTCGTGTTTGCTGGTCGCCTTTCCACTGGTTTATCCACTGGCTTTAAGCAAAACTTAGGGCAATACAGCCCTGAAATTTCCGTCCACCTTAAAACCAAAAAATGTCAACATAATTCAAGCCAAAAATTCAAAGATGTCTTCACTTATTTTCGTCTATTTGGCCATTTCGCTGGGTTCGGCGTTGGCAGCCGATTTCAATCCGTTTCTCGATCTGGAATGTGTGGATTGCAAGGAGGACTGTGGTGTACGATCGACCGGAAGCAGCTGCCTCTCCCTTGATCGCCAAAGAGCCCTCAGGACTTTTACTCCGGCAAACGTGACGCGCATGACCTTGGACCATTATCATCATCTGCAAAAGTGCATACCCAAGGACGAGGTCATAAGAGGTGCTATGTCGGGGAGGCTGATTGTTGGGCTAGCTAAGTAATCTTTCGCTTTTCAGAGGAGAAGCCCGATTTCTGCTGTGCCTGGTCGCCGCAGCTGGGCTGCCAATTGATCAAGCGGATCAGTGGCACCCAGAGAACCTGTGATTCCTGCAAGGCCCTGACCCAGGACTCGCCCGAGATCGAGCTTTGCCCCTGCAAGGCAGCCCATGTAAAGCTGTGCAGTGCTCTCCTCCTCCCCATCCTCATGATGGGTATTATCTACCCCTACATTTAGGCATCCACACCTGATTGTTCAACAAAGCAGTCCACACACATTTCTCGCTCGAATTGGTGTCAATAAATCTGTCAAAAGTCATGGAGATTTCCTTTATTTTCATCGTATCTGCTTTACTGATGGGCACATCGGCCTACAATCCGTACGATAATATGATATGTCTGGACTGCGGGGACCTGTGTCCGGTTCGCAGACGGGGAACCAGTTGCCGCACGGCTCCGAAAAACATTGCCGCATGGAAAAGCAGGGAAAGAGGTCTAGCACGGATAAATACCACGCATCTGGTGTGCGTGCCAGACGATCTCAGGCTCGTGGGTAAGTCAGGGCAGTCCACACATTGATCCTCATTGATCTTCCCCTCGAACGGCAGAAGTGGATCCCGCCTTCTGTTGCATTTGGGCCCCGGAATTCGGCTGCCGTCTGGTGCGATCCATCTTGGACGATCACATCCAGTGTAGAAGGTGCTACAATCCGAAAAGGAAACGACGGGGATATACCCTATGCCCCTGTAAAGGATATCAGGGAAAGGCCTGCAATGGACTATTGGCTTTTGTCATTATCATTCCACAGATGGCGCGACTTTTAAGCTGAATAAAAGGGAAAGAGTGCCCCTGCCTTTGCCCTTTTGTGGGTCTCATTTCCATCAAAATAAGGATACAGATTGAGGGAGGTTTTTGTAAACCACAATGTAGGGTTTCTCTAATGTCTCCTTGCCGATTGATTCCCGGGAAAATAAATTTCCATATCTGAAATTGTCACTTTTGCCTTTCGGTGTTTTCTGGTAATTTCCACAAAATTTCCTTTAATGGCTTTCGTTTTTTTTTTGCAATGGCAAGGCAAGGCATTTTCAATTCAAAAGCAAATTGTCTTTTATTTCAAGCTCATTAGCTTTTAATGCAATTTTATGCGGCCCAATGCCTCTGAATTTCGTCGCCACGTGCCACACACAATGGCTAGAAAGGGAATCGCTGGCTCTCTGTGGAGCAGGGCAGGGCAGGTGGAGCGACAGAGAGAGAGACATCCGCACATCGTTTGCATTACATTTATATCATTTCATATATGGAGATTCCGAGAAACAGAATGTGTGTCTCTGTGTCTCTGTCTCTGTCTCTCTGTCTCTGTCACCATATGTTTTGTGGATTTACAAAATTGACTTTTGTCGTCATGAATTAATTTTTCTTCTGTGTGTGTGCGTGTGTGTTGCTGTGGCAGACTCCACTCCTCCCACAAACTGTTTCTGTATCTGTATCTTGTGGCAATGTTCTTTTTGGCATTTCTGCGCCTTGGCCTGGAAGAAGCTTTAACATTTTATGTAAATTTTGTAAAATATTTATGGAAATGTAGCAGATTGTGACTGGCGAGGCGACTGCGTCAAAATGGCAGACAAGTAAATACATTTACATAAGCACACACTCACATGAGAGCTGCTGTTGCTCTCTCTCTCTAAATTTCTCTGGATGCGTGTCTCTCTCTCTCTCTGATATCAGGAGAGGAGACCAGAAGACATCAGCATAAATTTTAAATAACTGCTACACCGAAAAGGGAATATTAAATGTTGTTTTGGGTGATAGACAGCCAGTCCGTGTACTAAATGCCTTGCTTTGCCCAAATATATTTTATTCCAACAAAATCTTTGGGCTCTGCCTCAGCTCCGGTCTCTACCTTTTGGCTCCTTCCGTGAACATGCGACAGTTGAAAGGTTAAACCAATTTAAGCATCAGGAGAGAGCCTGGACCTGGCAACAAGAGTTCACTTCACTTGGGCGACCCCACCGACCGACCCACCGACCCTCCGACCGACCCACCGACCCACCGACCTTTTGTTGCTGTCGATGACGTTTGCATTTTCCTTTCAAGAGCTTGCCACGTTGGTTTTTCTCGGCGCTTTTCCAGGTCTAGTCCCGGGCTAGAGCTCAAGTATATATAAATGAATATTTTGCACATTTGAATATAGAGAAGCAAGGACTCGGAGTCCGTAGTCGGAGTCCGTAGTCCGGAGTCTGGCTATCATTTCATTTTACGCTGATGTTGCACTTTTCCTTTTGTGTCCCACAGGGGCAGGGGAGAAACATGTGGCAATATGTAAATGTATTTGCCAAGTGGCAAGGCGACATTTTTATTGAGCTTATCTTGGCTTTCACATTGTCGAAGAAAAGCATTTCCTCACAAAAAGAGATCGTAAGACAAAGCAGAGATCTCATCGGAAAGTAGTGACACCATTCATGGTTTATTTTTCAAGATTTAAAGGAAAGTTCAAAGGTCTCCCAGAAGGGCATCGAGTGCTTCCACCTTTTGTAAGATTTTTCCCACTTTGTTTTTTGTTTTCAGTGCATTTTGAAGCCCGCTGTAGCAGTCGCTCTCCTTTTGCATTGTCCTCCATTATTCTCCGCTTAATTCTATGTATTATTCCGACTGTCTTTCCCTCTCTCTGTCGCGCTGCCGAGTGCTGCCGGACTTCGGGACAACTTCCATTGTCGTGGCTGCATTTAGAATGCATTTTAATTTAGCATCAAACAACTTTGCCATTTCACTGCCTTTCAGAGCATCATGTCGATTTGCATAGTTGTATTCCTCGTGAACTCCCAAGAGAGCACACACACACACACACACACAGACACAGAGCATTCGCATAGATAGGGACACTTTGTTCCATGTTAATATTTCTCACATCTAATAAACTTTTCTCTCGCTCTAGCCCGTTCGTTGTGCCCCTTCCCCCCTTCCCCTCGTTTATATAATACGCTTAATCAAATGTTTATCTTCACACAGAAGTGGATGGGGGATTGGGGGGTTGGGGGGGTGGAGGATCTTGTGATTTTTTCTCATTTATTTTCCTGCGCATAGATTATGTAAATTTTTACTACTTTCACTTCGACATTTTCATTATGTTGGAGCCATAGACAACGGGGCCATCGCCTGTCACTGCTGCCAGCCCCCCACTCCTCCACTCCTCCGCTCCACTCCTGCTCCTGGCTTGCCTTGAGAGCTGGTGAAAAATTGCGCGCTCATTTTGAAGGAAGAAAAGCAACACGGGAAAAAATGTGCTCAGTAGAACGTATTTAAAATACTTGCACATAATTTATTTTCGCGCGAATACAAATCATTTCATTTTCGTGCAAGTCACGGATGGCGCAAAAGTGTAGCATATCTTACGGCGCCCGAGCCCATTAAAGGCAGCTCCCAAGGAGCAGCCAGGCAGCCAGGCAGCCAGAAGCAGAGCCTCTGATGATGGTTATATTACATTAACTGCAGGCAGCACCAGCAGCACCACCACTTCCAACAAATAGTGGCTTCGTGAGCCAAAAGTAAAATGAAAATAAAATGTAGCCTAAAAAAAGGGGCTACAACCTCACACACACACACACAGGCGCACACAGACCCACAGACTTGAACGCAATGAATACGTAAAGACATAGAGAGAGTGAGCGAGAGATACACATAGGAAAACGGAGGCCTTCGAATGCTCGACCAAGGGAGTGGATTGGAATTTGTACGATTTTGACATTTTGTTTGATGATAGATCCCTAAAAACGTGTCATATATTGTACTCGAAGTCGTTTCTCCTTCTCCAAGCCACTCTCTACCGCCCAGTCTGATATTCCCCAGAGCTACCCTCGCTGGAGAGCGTTGAGCGAGTGGCAGGGAATAGGAAACTCCACAGACAGCTGGCAAAACACTTTGTGACGCCTGTAATGGTGTCTGTTTTGGGGCGAGTACACACTCCTCTTGTGTAGGGGCGGGTAGGGGGGTGCCCTGCTCATTAGGATAGTGCAATTCTGCCAGCGAGAGAGTGCAGCAAAAGTTACTCAAATGTCCGGGGATCACTAAGCGTATGCGTAATTAAATTTCACGTGCGAGGAGCGTAGGAAAAGAAGGCACGAAGGTGTCACAAATGAAACCAGGTTGTCTGCCACATGTAAATACATTCCACGAGCGGGTGTGTGAGGAGCGGGCTATTTGCATTCCATTTAATCCAATCTTAAAGACCCAGACAGCCGCAGGCCTGTGCAAAAGTTAAGTGATTGGAAAATCCCATCTCTGGGAGTGTCATGGGTCAGAGTTCACACACACACACACCCACACTGTGATATCTGGGCCACAGCTGGCGTGTGTGTGTGTGTGTGTGTTGGGGGCGCAAACACAAATCAAAGTCACAGGCAATGCCAGTGTTATAATACCCTTATCTGTTATCTTATCAGCCAAAGGACTATCTCTGGCCTGTCCTGTCCTGTTCTGTCCTGCCCTGTCCTGTCCGTTGTTGAGGCTGAAGAAGCATCAACAAATGTCTGGCTGTCAGACATCGCCTCTGACACTAATTGCTTGACCTTTTTTCTCTTTTGTTGAGGCACCAGCAGCCGTCCATTGTTGAACTTTGTAGCGCGGCCAGAATTTGCATGCGAACCGCTGACCCGGCGACCAGGCCAGGCACAGCCGTTGACATGGATAAACCACTTCAAGTCAAGTGCACACACAGGGCCAAGTCGTCGTCGTAGCCGCAGCCGCAGCCTCAGCCGCAGCGGCAGTCAGTAACCAGCCAATCAACCGGCTGTCCCCCGATACCCTAACCCCTAGCCACCCCCTCCTTAAACCACAGGAAAATCCATTAGAAATTTTCAACAACAAAAAAATATATACATTTAAGCAGAAAAAGTTCAAGAAGTCATGGGGTCATGGAGTCATGGAGTCATGGAGTCATGGTTGATATAAAGTTGAAATAAATGTTGTTTTTGTTTTTGTAACCGCGTTGACAGTCCTGGCTGAAGAAAAGTTTCTGCGGCAAAAGGCTAACAAGGATTTGCTTTAGGGTTTGAGGGAAAACCAATATTTGAAATAGGAATTAAACAGTTTTCTGCTTTAAGGCGGGGGTGGGGTAGGGTTGAAGTCAGTCCCCTGTTCGTCCACCTGCCACACAGCAGATCTACCCACAACTGTCATTCTAATAAGCCAAGTCCTGTCCCAACTACCCAACTGCCTGCTGCCCGGTCCCTGCTCCTTCGGTGGCAGCTGCTGGCGACAATATGCATGGCACTTATTGCCACTTCAGTTGGCATGCGAACCAGGCTAATAGCCTGGGCCAGGCCATGCCCCCGTATCGCAACACCTCCAGGCTCCAGGCGGCACACCTGCAGCGCTTCAAAAATTTTATTTACTCAAGCTCCAAGCTCCTCCTCCTCCTCCTCCTAGAAGGAGCATCAACAGGAGCTTCGGTGTCGTACTGGTGACACTTTTTGGTTTTTTATGCTGCACATAGAGCACGGATAGCACTCTAGCCACGTCTCCTGCCGCCTTTCTCTCTGCTGCCACAAGAAATCTCAACTTGCGAGGGCACAAAAAACAGTGGAAAGAGTTAAGGGGGGAGGAGGGGGACGGGGGAGGGGGAGGGGGAGAAGCCGTTACTTGGCTGCTGCCGCGTGTCCAAAAATCTCTGCAAACAGATACAGTTGCAGTGGCACTTGCACCGTGTTGCACCGTTGCAAGCTGTTTCATTGCCTCCAACTGCAGACTGCATATTAAATCTATGTGGCACGTTGCACGTTGCACGGTGCAGTATGCACAGCATCATAACCCCTGGAATCTGCTTAAAATTTATGCACTTGTGGGATTTTTATATTGCACTTGCACTAGTCGCTCTCTCCCTCTCCCTCTCTCTCTCTCTCTCTGTCTCTTTCTCAGCATTTTCTGTGCTTTTCATTTTGTTTTATATTCAGTTTTTGTTGGTCGC